CATTAAAAACGAAGTGAAAGAGATGTGCAGCAGTCGTCAGCGATAAGGACTTAAGATGAAATTCAAAAAAAAAAACTTGAAAAATGGACTTGATTGAGTTTGCACGAGAAGAGTGGAAAATGGGGGGAGAGGGAGTGAGAATTTCACGTAATGTTTGCTACATCCGCGAACCCATTGGCTTTACTATTTTGAAGGGGACACAAAAAGCAGGGAAAGCAAACAGGTTTTCAGGAGTTTCTCCAACATAGGATGTTTTCCATAATAGCGAATTTTCCTTTTCGTTTGGATCGAAATAACTTGTAGATTCTGTGTGGAATAATTTTTTTAAAAAGTGATTGAGAAATTTTGACATTTTACATTCCTAAGGAAATATTTCTTCAAATTTATAATAGGAAAAAAATCAGCATTTACTATTTGTACGTGATTTTGATAAATTGAATCAGATTTATTTTTAGACCGTGCTGTATTTGAGCTAATACAGAACGGAAAGTAGCTCCGCCCACTGTATTTCCGTTCTGTATTGCTAATACAGAACAGCAAACTTCAAAGAAAAACACCGCAATCGTGTCACAATAATCAGATACAGAAAAAATAAATAAAAACTATTTTATGTAATAATACTGAACTTTGAGAGAAGTTTTTCCCTCAATTTAAACTTAAAAGAACAAGAGACCGGTGGGTTACAAAGCTCACATGAGTCATACTTTTCTTTTAAGAACAGTTTAAAAAGACCATTTCCGTTTATGTTCCCATGAAATTTTTTTTTCCATATTACGACCCCATCCTAGCCACAAAGGGTCGTGACTTTATCAAACTTAAATCCACACAAAATTTTAATATGACTACTATGGCCTAATACTATTCTGGATAAGATCCCCCCTACATACAGATATTATGTAAAATTTGAATAATCTTGGATCCACATGACGTAGAAATACGGAAAGACTTGTGAGACAGGATTTTTTGATATTATCACTCGTGCTTCGCACTCGTGAAAATATCAAAAAATCCTGTCCCACTCATGAAATAAATTCCATATTCATCTACAAAACATTGAATATCCTCTCTCTCTCTCTATATATATATATAGTTTCCCTTTAATATTATACAATGTACCATAGTATGTTGGTCCACCCTAGCACTGGGGGCCAGGATTTTTTTTAAAAAAATTGAAATTCTACACTATATACATGAATGTATGGAAACATAAGGTTTATCTTGTCTTTATTATTTTCCCTTGGAAGAGGGCAAAGAACAAACTTGAAACCCCTTTGCTCAAACATGCTTTGTGTCAAGTTTAGTTGAAACTGGCCCAATGGTTCTGAAGTAACACACAAATGGACATCAGACACCCTTTTATCAGAAAAGCTCACTTGAGTATTTCTCATCTTCTAAAACCACATTAAGTTTCTCAAGAATGGAAATGTAAACACATTTCAACAAGACAAAAAGAGGTAATCTTCGTCTTGTTGAATTGTTTGATGTTGTTTTCTTTTCTTCTTCTTCTTTTTTTAAAAAATAAAATGGATTCTCTTTCATCCAAATTAAGTGACGTTGACCTTATATAAGCTTGAGCCAATAAGGAAACCTTTCAATATTTACATATCCGATTTTTTCCCATAAGATTCTTTACAATAGGAATATGATTCAATTTTTCATGAATTCAAATGGAAGAGCATAATTATCTCCATGATTTAAATTAAAAAATAAATGTACTTTGTCTTTCTTTCAAAAAAATAGTTTTATGAATAATTTGAGGCCATTCATCAAATAAATAATGTAAATATAAGATATAGTTTAACTTTTGATAAATCATAAAGTATATAAACTACAATGCATCATGCCTGCATATTTATCATAAATCACTTATGCACTTCTTGAAATATGCCATCGTGAAGCGTTATAGTTCATGTCCTCATGAATTATCAAAAATCAATTAATTAATTTCTTAATTCCAGTCAAGGGTTCCAAAGTTATGCCCTAGGCAAGATTTTGTGACATAAAGCCAAGTGCATGGACGGATGAACAGACAGTCAGTCTTACCCAAGGGATAGATATATACAAGTAGCTATGTGTTATTTTCATGAAAAACACACCCTGAACATGCAATATACAGTATAAATATATATATATATATATATATATATATATATATATATATATATATATATATATATATATATATATATATATATATATATATATATATATATATATATATATATATATATACTTTAAAGGTAAAAGTAGATCCAGCCACAGTATAAATGTATATACATTTCATCAAAATACTCGTAGTACTTTAAGCACTTCTTGATACAGGATTTTATATGTGATATTTACAGTAAAATGTAAATTATTATAAATTATATCTCAAAGTTCACATATAGCAAAAGTAGCTGATTCCTTAATTATGTGAATTGAATTCATGAAAATTTAAACAAAAATGGATGAACAGATAAAAAGCCATACAGGACAATCAATAATGGGATGGTTGCATGGTACAATAAAACAATGCAATATTTGTGACATTGCATAATATGTGTATATGTGATTGCAATGTGTAAAACAAAGTTAACTATTAACTTCCAACAGAGGATGATTCAGTTAGACTACACATCGAAAAAATATTGTATGCACATGCAGTTTACAGAAGTTTGCAGATTAAGACTTCATCAAGTTAATACTGAGACAGTGGTGCATTAAACAACACAGTATACTGCATAATACCAAAATGTACATTAAGAGGCCCGTGGGCCACAATGCTCACATAAGTCACTTTGGCCCTACTGTTCTTCATCAGCAGATTTTTTTTTTTATAAATAAATCCCTCTTCCATGATTTTTTCACTCCATATTGTGGACCTAAAAAAGTTATGGTACATGCATGAATTAATCAAGTTGTAAAATCAACACTGGGATGCTTCAATATCGATATGATCAACACCACCCATCTGTTCCTTAAATTTTTTTTTTGATTCCACATAACTATGGTTCATTTTGCTTTTTAATATGATTCAGTGTGGTATTGCCACTTTTGAAAAAAATCTTTCTAAAATTCTCTCAAAAAAGGCTTATTTTCTATTGTAGCATCAACCTATTCCTTAGGGCAAACTTGAATCTACACTTCCTGTGGATGCTTGCATGCATATCATTATGACTAATAATGACTTTGCCCATGTCAATAAGAGGAAGAATCTTGCAGATTTTTCATATTCCTACATAAAAGTTTGATCTCCTATCATGGCCCCACCCTAATCCCAGGGGCCATGATTTGAACAAACTTGTATCTACATTACTCATGATTTGTTGTTTTTGAGAAGAAGAGTTTTAAAGATTTTCCCTCTAATATTTGATTGCTTGATGTCACCTCCCCCTACCCTTAGGGGGTCCTGATTTGAACAACAAATCTACAATACCCAAGGATGCTTCCATATTTTACTATATGACTCATCAGAGCTGTTCTTGAGGAGAACATTTTTAAAGATTTTTTTTTATTTTCCTTTGTGAAAGTTTGATCTCCTTTTGTGTCCCCTCCAATCACGTTTGAACAAATTGGAATCTACTCTAACCTGTGTATGCTTGCACACCAAAATGACCAATAATGACTTTGCTTTTCACGTAAATAAAAAATGCAAAAAAATTTTCCCATATACTCCTTTGTAAAACTTTGATACCTATTGTGGCCCCAGTCTTCCCCTGGGGGTCAAGACTTGGACAAATTTGGTCTACCCTACTTGAAGATGCTTCTTTATTTATATGATCAATCATGGCTTTGCTGTTCTTGAGAAGAAGAGCTTTAAAGATTCTTCCTAAAAATTCCTATGTATAACTTTGACCCCCCCTCCCCTGTTGTGGCCCCACTTATGCCCAGGGGGTCAAGAGTTGAACAAACTTTAATTTTACACAAAATAATAAAGCTTTCACATAAGTTTCATCTTTTCTGGCTCACTGGTTCTTGAAGAGTAGATTTTTAAAAGATTCCATTAAATTTTCACTAATTTTTAATTATTATCTCCCCTTGGTAGAAAACATGGCCCTTCATATGAACAAACTTGAATTCCCTTCACCAAAGAACACTCAGTGCTAAGTTTGGTTGGAATAGTCCATTAATTCACACTTTTCAAAAGCTGTGTCCCTTTGTGGGGTTAACCTAACAGTCAAACAAGAAATAAATGTTGTTTCTCTTCTTTATGGTACCAAACATTTGGTGTGCTTCAATAAATAAACTGTGTTTATATTTTTTCTTTCTATGTATGAGAAGCCCTATCCTGAGGCAATCAGAATACAAAACGCAAAGATTTTTTCCAGTCGAATGGCAAAATTACAAATCAAAAAGCTGTAAAGGCTGCTGTGAGGATTCCAGATCTATGGAATTTCCCCCAAAGCTGGAGGCCAAGGGACATAACTTTTGAAATGTGTGGATTCAACTACTGGCCAAGTGGTTCTGGTGAAGAAGATGAAATTATGAAAAGTTTACGACAACAATGACAGCAACTACAGACAATATACAAATCAGAAAACCTCACTTGAGCCTTCTGCTCTGGTGAACTAAAAAGTTGTAAAAATTTTATATGATTTAAACAAAATTACTTTCAAAACAAACATAGTAATCTGTGCTAAGAGAAATTAAGAAACATGTATGTATATCAAAAATCACAACTTAAAATGTTGAATGAACACAGATGACAAGATCACCTTGTGAAAGATATCTACATTTAAGGGGTAGCTGATAATTAGGGTCACACAAGTTCACAGCCTAAAACAAGAAAATAATTATTTTTAAATTTTAACTATTTTAATTATGACTCCCAACATGCACTAGCTATTTACCAACAGTCTGAACTTTCAGGTGTTGCTGAGAAATGATATCATAATGATGTTATTATCACCTCTTGCATGACCAAGCAAAGTTGACATTCGACATATCCCTACATATCAATTAAACTCCATCAAATTTACCTACTTTCCTAGGAAAAACAATGCTTGTCACAAAACATGCTACCTGTGTTACATTCTTTATTGACTCAGGAGTTTATTAGTGATACAGTCATATACTGGCAGTCCAAACTATCAGGAAACTTGTACTATATATCATACATTGTAAGCCTATAGGTTATAGACAATAGCAAAATATCTGACCCAGACAGAACCATATACCTAAATTAATACATGCTTAAAATTGTTTTACTGCCAAAAAAAAGTATTACAAAATTTCCTAAAGGTCAAGGCCACATATGTAACATAAATGTCTTCATTTTAATGATCTGCAGCATATTTCCTTCTGAAGCTAGGTCACAATTAAAACATCTGAAATCTGACTTAAGGACACAAAATGTGAACAAAAAACATAAAAATCAGGAAAAAGACGAAAATGTTCAGGGTTAATAATGCCTGCAGCCATACTCCTTTTGTCAAAAAGAAAAATAAATATTCTCACTGCAAATAAATACTATACAATTTTTGTTATATTATAAGTCAATTATAAACTCTTCAGTGAAACATCAATCGTTTTCATTTCTGTTACAGAATAATGTCACCACAATCACACAATATATAGTCTCATCTATCACAGTCATGTGTGAATAATGAGTCAAAAATATGAAAAATGTATAAATGTAAAATTGCACCAGGTTCAGAATCATGGACGGATATCTGAAAGCTAATTTATTAATTATATTGTAAAAACCCTATCATCTAACATATTTGCTAAATAAAGCATATAGCAACTCCTTTTCTATAATTATAAAAGGAGGGGGAGAGGGTAGCAATTGTACTTTAACTTTCATCATTTCAATGGAGAAAGCATGCAGCTGTGATTGAGCAGAAAATAAAGATGAGATGATCGACATTCTCTGTGTAACCCAGGCATCAAGCTACCATGATGTGAGCAGTAGAATAATACTTCATTCAGAATTCTTTGAGCTTGCCATGTCTCATTCAGGATTTATTGTCTTTGCCAACTATTTACACCTTAAAAGAAAAATTTAGAGAAATCAATAACAGAAATATTGCAAAACTAGGGTAAAGGTAAGTGTAACTATTATGGTAATTTAATGCCTCAATGGAATTTTAGGTTCATTATTCAGTAGCTAGGATATATATGTGTGTGTCAGACCTTTACAGGTCACTAATCAATGGCGATGTCGTAACTTTATGGTGAACTGTGTGATGAATGTGTGCTTAACTCAAAACATAAAATTTAAATTATGTGATATTTCACAATACCTAATAGCAAACAACATTTTACATTATAGGTGCATGGATATACATGTAGTGTACATTGGATTATACATTGTAGTATTAAACATCATTCAAGAATGCATAATGGATCATAAGAACTGCATGTATTAATTATTTTAATTATATCTATTTCTTATGACATTTAAAATATTGTACATCTTTATATAATTATGTTCTTCAATAATGACATTCATAAAATCTGAATAATTTAACAAGAGGCCCATGGGCCACATTGCTCACCTGAGCAACTTTGGCCATGCTGTTCTTTACCAGATTTCCCCCCTTGTAATACCTATTGTGGCCCCGCCCTACCCCCGGGGGTCATGATTTGAACAATTTAGAATCTACACTACCCCAGGATGCTTCCACATAAGTTTCAGCTTTTCTGGCCCAGTGATTCTTGAGAAGAAGATTTTTAAAGATTTTTCCTATATATTTCAATGTAAAAATTGGATTCCCTATTGTGGCCCCACCCTACCCCCGGGAGTCATGATTTTAACAATTTAAAATCTACACTATCCCAGGATGCTTCTATATAAGTTTCAGCTTTTCTGGCTCAGTGGTTCTTGAGAAGAAGATTTTTTAATGACCTCTCCCTATTTTTGTCTTTTCTTGATTATCTCCCCTTGTAAGGGGACTTGGTCCTTTATTTTAACAATTTAAACTTCTCTTCACCCAAGGATACTTTGTGCCAAGTTTGGTTAAAATTGGCCCAGTGGTTCTTGAGAAGAAGTTGAAAATGTGAAAAGTTTACAGACAGACGGACAACGGACAACAGGTGATCAGAAAAGCTCACTTGAGCTTTCAGCTCAGGTGAGCTAAAAACAGTTTGATTTTAATTTTGCTGTTATCAATCACAAAATACTTAAGAAATTAGAGTTCTATATTAGGATCCATCTAATTAAAAAGAAAAAAATCTGAGTGCACACATTTCTTGGACATCTAGGCAACTATTCATTTAAATCCATAAATTCAACTTCATACTAAAGTGAAACAACACTATTTTTAGATAATATTTTGAATACTCTAAAAGTAAATATTAGACCAATTACATTCAAAAATATTTGTCATCTTTATAAACCATAAATCTGAAAAATTCCACTTGTATGAATGAGTACATGCACATGATGAATCATTTAAGCCTGAAGAAACTGTGGACTATCGATCAGCTTCGTATTTAAGATGTCATCACACTTCTTTGTTAAAATGCTCTTTGGTAAACATGGTAAAACTTTATACTAGAATGTAAATTTTCAATAATAACATACCTTTCTTCAAGATTGACATTGATTTATAATATCACAAATTTGGCTGAGAAAATAACAATGAATTGGGAAAAGAAATGATGTGCATGAATGTCTTTGAGGTATATATCTATAGCCTATTGATTAAATTCAATGATCTCAATTTTCTGTCCATGCATATACATTTAAAATCTTTTTGAGGTGCTGAATACTCCAAAATAATTAACCATGCATGCAGTTGCACAAGATGATTTACTGAAAAAATATGCTCAACACCTCATTATTTGAAATATAAGGTCATTTGAATAAGCTGGAAATCTCTTTTCTGATGAACAAATTTTAAACTTTGTATTCAAATAAAGAAATTTGCTAATCTGGTATATACACTAGTACAAGTTTATTGATTTTTGAGTCGTTTCTTAATTTTCATCAGGAATAAATATATGTGTGTCCTGGCTCCTTTACACTGTGTTAATTAACTGGCAAGCATTGATTCAGAAATCATGGAAAACTTTGATATGTAAAGGTGTTTGCCATATATTAACTGAACCTTCACTTAGTACCCTTTATTGACCCTCATCATGAATTATGAATAAACTAATCTCTTGCAATATGTTGCTATTCGTATAGGAAACCATCTTAAACTTGGAATTACACATGAATAATTCTACTACTACTAAAGCAGCATTTGTATTAGATAGGTGGGACACTTAAACTAAAGATGCCTTAAATTTACAAAAGAAGAGGAAATCCCACTTTGATAATCATTCTGTTTTAAGGTATCTTAGAAAGGAATGGAATTCAATTGTTTGATTAGATGATTAGGAATTCAATTGTTTGATTACAGTCCTCTATATATTGGCAAAATATTGGGGGGGGCAACCCCCCCCCCCCCCCCCCCCCCCCACCAGTTCCTACAGCCATGCCTATATATAAACTCTCAATACCTTCACTTACATTGTAATGCATTTTCTAAATCAGAGAATTTGGCGATCAAAACTTTCCAAGTGCCTCATTGTACACCAAAAATTTTCATAGGGCATGTGAGAAAAGGTGAAAAATTGTCTGCTGCCTCCCCTGTAGTACATAATAAACATAATGACACACTGTAAGAAGCTATAGGTATTCCAAGATTAATAAAATAGATTATAAAACAAAAAAACTGACCTCAAAAAGTTGTCATTGGTTCTCATTTAGAGCTTTTTGAAAATCATCTGCAACATCCACCAGCTTACAGCCACTTGGGGTCATGACCTCCGTGGAAGTCAAACTGCTCTCAGACTTCTCTTTTAAAGTCTCTTGACTTTCCTTCTTTTCAGATCCCAAACTTGGCAACTTTACATATAACTGATGCCTTCCAAGTTCTGGACCAAATCCATCTGACTGACTTTCTTTTAAATTTTCTTTCTGTTTCAATGGACTCTGTAGTGGTTCTAGCTTAAAAAGTTTTTTCATTGTCAAGTTCCTGTTTTCTATTCTTGAGCAATCTATCAGGTATGAAGAATCATTAACTTCTGCATTATTGTTATTCTTGAGCAATCCTTCATGGAGTGTTTCTTGAGGATTTTGTTGATTATTTAACACTGAGAAAGTTTCCAAGCCTTCTTCATTATACCGTTTTATATTATCACTTTCACTGCTTTCTATATCATTTGCTGATGGCAGATTTTCAGAACATGTTGCCAAATCTTGTTCTTTGTTTCTTGAACAATCTTTTGTTGCAATGTTGCAGCTCATTTCAAGTCCTGAATCAGCTGCTGCTGTAGAAGCTATGGAAACTTTGGAGACTGTTCTGTCTCTTTTCTCTGATTTATTTGATTTCCCAACCTCTGGATGAGAACTGCTTCGCTTCTGCAGACTTGGATGAATCTCTTCTGACTTCTTTGCAGAGATTGGGTGAGAAATTGAAAAAGGGTCTAGCTCATTACTAGAGTCATAATCACTTGTCTCATACTCAAATCCTTGAAGATTTCCCTGTGATCCCAGAACATCACACTTTCGGCCGCGAATCTTAATGTCATCATAATCTGATTCTTCATCTGAACCAGTCTGGATATGAACACCTTGAGAAGTCGCAAAGAGAACAGGAACTTGGAAACCTGAGTTATGCACAAATGCTTCTTTCATCTTCTCCTCTTTTGCTTGTTTCTTATCATCAGTGTATTTCAGTTCTAACTTTTCACGACTTGGAGGGTTCTCAACTTTAATCTCCAAATCCACAATAAGATTAGATTTTCTACATAAAATTATATTTTTGAACAGTTGCCAAAGTTCTTTTTTCCACAAAAGTGCCAAAATTGGCAAGATTATAACAAAACCAAATCTGAACCAAACCAAACTAACATCTACGGTGTAACTGTTTGGTATCTCAAAACTACTGTTGATATTCAAATCTTCACTATAACGGAACATTCGAATTAACTGTGAACTTATGTATGGTACTTCCATCATAATCCACAGGAACAACAGAATGCCAGTGTATTTTGCTCCTTTAAGTTCCCTTAATAACTTGGGTTCTGAGACTTCCTTGGAATATTGATTTTGGCTTCTCTTGGCATGGTTAGAATGCTCAGAACATGTAACTTTCATTGCAAGTGAAAAGAAAATAATGGATACACTGATTGGAATAAAAAAGCACACAAGTGTTATGATAAGGGTGTAAATGATTGAGACATTGTTTGCCATCATGCAGAGTTTCACATTTTCATAAACATCAACTTCTATTGCACCAAACAACAAGGGGACACTAAACGAAACAGAGTGTACCCAAGTGTATATTAGCATGATGATAAATCGTGGTATGCTCTGAAACTGTTCATATTTATCACTATGTCGAGTGGCCATCATCCTATCCAGAGTCATAAACATCAACCCAAGAATGGTTTCAACCCATATGAGGTTCATGAAAAATGAATTCAAACGACATAGGAAATCCTCACTACTCCACGAAACTGATCCAATAGCAGTTATCAAGGCAAAAGACATGTTGAATAGACAGTCTAAGCAATTCACAAATGCCAAGTTGAGAGAAAATAACTGTAAAGCAGACGTGCGCTGCTTTTTATTGCATCCAATTGTTACAATGAGGACAACATTGCCCAATAATCCTACCACCATGAAAATAACCAGAAACACCACTTTTGTCGTATTTTCGTCCGCCGGAGAATTCGTACCAGTTGATGTTCCATTTTCCAATGAACTAGAATTACTGGCAGCCATCACACATGCATAAATCGATTAACCATTTAAGGAATTTTCAGCAATTTCCAGATGACATAGACCACATTCAGTGTATAACAGATGAATCTCAGTAAATCTTGAGAAATGTTCTCTTTTAGCACACTCTATTATGCAGAACATGTTGATTCGCGTGAAGTACCTGCTAACACACTTGGCCTATATTTCGGTTGTTGACATTAGTGCCGGAAATACGTCACAATTAGCTTAAAAATATGGTAGTACGTACTTAGGGAACCCTATATGATGTTTGTATAAAATAATAATAGATAACAACTTTAGAACGATATGAAATTATTTCTTTTCTTTACAAATGACATTCTTATTTTAACTATCGGGAGATCTAAAATTCTTAGAAATTATTGTTTATACCGAATATACTCAGTAAGAATTACTACACACCGAGTACCCTGGAACTTGTTGCGAATAGTATGATTTCCCGAGAAGTGGTTGTATTTTGCTATGAATTACCTTCCAGGAACAGCTAGCTTAGTAGAAGAGATAGATAGTATGTTATTACACATTATGAATTGTAAAGGTTACTAACGACTGACAAATATAGATTCTAACAGCATAAACATGATAAGGGGATGTAATCTCGGCGAGATTAAAAATTTTGGAATTACGTCTCTTACGAATCTCAGACTAGTGTCACACAAAGTGATTCGGGAAAATCTTGCCCGGACTTTGACCTATTGTTTCGATCAATACGGGCTGAAATGAATTCCTTGCCCGCTTCAACTTTTTGCTTTGGACATCCTTTTAAGTCCCTATCACTTTAAAACTTTTGTTTCTTACCTTTTAAATTTTTAAATCCAACCAAAATCAAGTTGTTGAGTTTTTCATAGCACTGACATATTCGTTCAAACCACCGACGCTGAAGAATTCCAGCAATAGTCTGCTTCAAATACTTTGTACTAAAATAAATTTTGAAACATCTTCCACCCATATGAGCAGTCAAAGTTTTACATGGATATATATATATATATATATATATATATATATATATATATATATATATATATATATATATATATATATATATAGGAAAAATCTTTAAAAATCTTTTTCTCAAGAACAGTAAAGTAATTATGATCAGTTATTTATTATGGAAACATCCATACTAAGGTAGCATAGATTCAAATTTGTTCAAATCATGACCCAAAGGGGTTGGGTGTTACCACTATGGGTGATCAAAGTTTTACCTGGGTATATATAGAAAAAAATCTTATTCTTAAGAACAGCAAAGCAACGATCAGTCGTATTTATATGGAAGCATCCTCAGATTTGTTCAAATCATGACTCCGGGGATAGGGTGGAGCCCAATGGGAAATCAAAGTTTTGCACAGGAATACTGAGAAAAAATCTCAAAAATTTTTTTAATCAGGAATAGCAAAGTCATGATTAGTCATATGCATCATTAGGTTGTGTAGATTCAAGTTCAAATCATGACACCAGAGGGTAGGGTGGGACTACAATTGGTAATCAAATTTTACATTGGAATATATAGGAAAAAGAATCTGTTGATGAAGATAAAGAAGGGCCATAGTAACTTGGGTGAGCATTGTGGCCCATGGGCCTCTTGATAAAATATACCCAGACTGCAGATTTAGAAGGTATATGTTTGAGTATGTTTGACAATCAAAAACCAATTCATAAATGATATCCTTACTGAGAACCATGAACTATGTCTGGTTTTGAACCTTACACAAGTTTTACTTATGAACACACTGATGCTTTAAGAAATAAAGAAGGTGAATCCAATTTCATTACATTG